CATAATTTGGATGTTGGTACACTTGAAGTTTTCCCAGAGGCTCCTTACACTATCTCCATATTTTTGGATTCTTGTTTTTTTTTTTCTTTTTGCTCTTGTGGTTGGGTGTTTTTTGTTTCCTCATATTTCAAATCGTTGATTTGATTCTTGGGATCCTCTAGTCCAGCTGTGGCCAACCGGTGGTCCATGAGGTCTGAAAGGTTGGCAACCACTGCAGTCTAGTCTGCTGTTGAATCCCTGTATATTATTCTTTATTTCAGTCAGTGTATGCTTAATTTCTGACTGGTCCTCTTCCATTTTTTTGGCATTCTCAATAAGATCCTTGAAAGTCTCACTAAGTCCCCTTGGAGGTTTCTAGAAGGTTCTTGAGTAACCTTATAACTATGGTTTTAAACTCTATATCCAGTAGTTTGCTTTCTTACATTTCTTTCATTTGTGACATGTTTCTTTGTCTCCACATTTTGGCTGCTTCCCTGTGTTTGTTTCTATGTATTTGGTAGAGCTGCTAAGTTTCCTTGAGTTGGCCTTGTGTAGTAGATGTCTTATAGAGCCCAGTGGCTCAGCTTCCCCAATCACCTGAGGTGGACACTCTACATGAACCCCTTTGTGGACTGTGTGCACAGTCTTGTTATAGTTGAGCCTTGATTGCTGTTGGTGTCACTGGGAGGAATTGACCTGCAGGCCAATTGACTGTGAGGACCAGCTGTGACTACAGTGGGAGAGCTGCTGTGCAGGACATACCCTTATGGGACAGGACTTGCTTCAGTGGGGCTTTGGTGCTCACTGAGTCTGCCCCTTGAGTGTGTCACTTATGGATGTGAAGAGTTGTAATCTAGTATGGTCTGATACTGACCACTGGGTACACTGGCTTTTGGGTCTCCAGGGAGGTACAAAGTCAGCCACAGTCTGGAGCAATGCAGCAGGAGCTACAGAGAGATCTGCAGATTCCTCCTCTTTGTATTGGGTTTGGAAGTTCCCAGATGAGGCCCAGCTGTGAAGCAAGGCAGTCTGATGTTGGTGCTGGGTCTGGGACCTCTTATTCATAGGTTTGGGGCTTCTTGACCCAGCTGCAGCTTGTTTGACAGGTTTCCACCTGAATAAGGACAGGTCATTCATATGCAAAAGCTGCTGCTCACAGCTTTGGGTGGGGTTGTAAATTGGATGGGCGGGGTCTCAGGGAATCACCAGGGCAGAGCAAACAGAAATGGCTGCCAGTCAGCCCTGCAACTGAGGAGGTCCCAGCATCGGAACAAAGATCTCTGTGAGCACCTTCATCTGGAAGAAAGCTGCCCCCGAGTTTCTGCTCCATGCCAAACATTCCAGTTTCTCCTCGTATGTGTCTGAGTCCCCCACAGCCTCGCCCAGCATTGGAGCTCAGAGGCAGTGGGAACTTGTAAGTTCAGTTTTTGTGCCGGCCTTGTAAGAGGAACAACTGGGTCTCCAGTAGCCTCTGTGTCCCTGAACTCCAGTCCCCAGTGGTTTTTACAGCCCATAATTCTTACTGCCGGAAATGACTTCTTTTTCCAGCTCTGGGCTGGGCATCTGGTCTGGGGTTGGGACCCTTGCTCCTCTGGGCGGCCTCCACAGAGACAATCTCCCCCCTGATTAAGAAAGTGGCACACTCGGGTGCTGGACCTGCCCATTGCTCCCCTCCCACCTCCTACCAGTCTCAATATGCTGCCTTCTTTACTTCTCTAGTTGCAGTACTTCCATTCAGCCAGCTTTCTGGCAGTTCTGGATGATGGTTGTTCTGTATTTTAGTTGTAATTTTGATGTGGTTGTGGGAGGCAGCGAGTACAGGCATTTGTCTATGCCACCATCTTGGTTCTCCCTCACAGACAATTTTTAAATTAATTGCTCACTAGCCCCCTTAATTTCAACCATATTTGTGTCCCTAAATATGATTCTTCATTCCTAGAGATCATTTGTCTCAGCCAAGAAAGACATTATTCTGAAGGTCCCTAAATGGTGACAGAGGTGATGGCCATGGGCAATACCTGTGGCTCAACCATTAGCTACAATTGATGTTTTTGTTATGAGTAAGTCAACCACAAAGCTACCAACTGCCAGTGTAATTGTAGCTGGTGAAACCACATATGTTCCTCCTGAAGGACACAAGGTCAACGTTTGATAGGCAGGCATAAAATATGCACGTGCCTTATCTTCCTGGTATAAGGTTTCTTCCAGTTTGGAGGGTCAATTTTCACAAACTTTCAGAATTGATACTTTGAAAATTCCCTCTGCACTTAAATTATGGAAGCCGTTGGCAGCTTTTATTTGTTTTACTTAAATACAACCATTTGTGAAGGGGAGCTTCTGAATTCACAATGTGATTTTTTTTTTCCAAAATGAAAATTTAAATGCAATTATTTTACTTATTTCAGGTCTAAACAAATGTAAAGATAAATATTACACACTAAAGGAGCAATGCTAGCACTGAAAGTTAAGCAATGATTTTTGGTTTGTATTTTAAAAGAATGGAGTGTATTTTTCAATATATATGTATATATATATTTAGTGTAGAAATAATATTTTAGACTAGTTTAAAATTTTGGCTTTATTTGTTTATTTATTTATTTTTATAGCAAAAGGTGGAAATTTATTGAGAAATGAGCACAGACTCCCATGTGGCATTTTAAAATAAATCAATAATAGCCAGTGTCTATATTATTTAAGGTGATTTCATTTGTACAGAAAGAAAGGAGTTTTTAAAAATCATGTCTTAATTTTTGTTTCTAGATACCTTCTTTAAACTTACAGCGTTTGATTCCTGTGTTTTATATGATAACATTTCAAAATAAATCATACCAGTCTTAGTTCAAAGAGAGCATTGTAATGGATAGACCTAAGAGAGGGCCAAGCACATGTTAAGACCTAGAATTATCAGGCTGGTAATTGCCAAGGGCAAGATGTAAGGCAGTTCAAAGATTATCCAATGTGTGGGGGACCCATATATGCATAGAAAATCCTCAAACACTTCCCTCTGTGCTAAGCATTTTTCTGACATCACCGAAATCTAGTCTTCATAAAGTGCTCTTATTACCCCAATATTAAGAAGAGAATGAGGTTAAGAAATTAAGTGCTCCCCTGGCCAGTGTGACTCAGTGGTTGAGCATCGTACTATGAACCAGGAGGTCACAGTTCAATTCCCAGTCAGGTTACATGCCTGGATTGTGGGCTCAATTCCCAGCAGGGGGCACACAGGAGGCAGCCAATCAATGATTCTCTCTCATTTATGTTTCTATTGCTTTCTCCCTCTCCCTTCCTCTCTCTGAAATAAATAAAAACATATTTTTTAAAAAAGAAAGAAATTAAGTGCTCAAGTTTACCCAGCTAATATTAGTAAGTCGCAGAACCAGCAAAACCTCCTGCTAAATATATTTACAACCGTGCAAAGAAGCTGGACACACTCCTTATAGGCTTTAGTGGTGGCCATCCTGGACCTTTCCTTAAAGGAAGTGGTAGAGGATGGTGCTAGCCAAAACCAGACGGGCAGGTGCCTACCTGCTGAGACTTCCTGTGTAATCATCCCCTAGACCAGTGATGGCGAACCTGACACGGGTGTCAGAGGTGACACGCGAACTCATTTTTTTGGTTGATTTTTCTTTGTTAAATGGCATTTAAATATATAAAATAAATATCAAAAATATAAGTCTTTGTTTTACTATGGTTGCAAAGATCAAAAATTTCTATATGTGACACGGCACCAGAGTTAAGTTAGGGTTTTTCAAAATGCTGACACGCCGAGCTCAAAAGGTTTGCCATCACTGCCCTAGACTAATCTGAGTCGTTGGTTATGATCCAAACCCTCCTATTTAAAGGTGGATCTAAAGTTATAATAATTATTTAGTACTTAACTTTGTATACTGTTTTCTGGGTGTTTTTTTTTTTCAGTTGCTCATCCATTTACATGTCCTGCTCTCCTGTATTTCCCACTCATTCCTTGACACAAAATAATGAGAATCTTAGCTGTTGCTTCTTCCTTCATCCCCCCACCCCCCCATCCCCAGCCCTGCCCTCCTCTTGGGAAAGGAGAAATCAGAATCCTTTTGCTCTTTCCTCTTTGCTCAAATTCATCCTCATCATTCTTGGATCTGGTGGAGTTTTTACAATATAACTATAAAAGATGACATTTCATCCTTTGAGAAAAATGTCTTGGTTATATCCCAGCTAAATGGATGGGTGGATTTTTCATCATGACTTAATTTTGTGACCCAACTGGGAAAACTTTCACTTTTATTAGCAGCTGTCTTCTCTTTTCTTATCAGATATTCAGCTTTTAGCACATAGCTCAGAAGAGGAAACACATGGTTTGAAGTTATTATATGGACTTCACAAATCCTTCCAAACAATTTTTCTTAGGTAGGGAAACAAACAAATGCCTGCCTAAGATCTTTCAAAGAGAGCTGTAATAGTTGCAATCTATATAAACAGGACATCTGAAAGGAATGCTTGCTTAGCTTTCGTCACATTAAGAAGTGCTGATAGGAGTGAAAATAGAAAAGAAGATGCTTGTATTTTTCCTTCCCCCACAGGTTGAAGGTTGACTTTAAAAGGGAAAATGCTGAGTGTTTCTTAAAACGAAATGGGAACTTCTTTATTTCCCCCAGACATCAGTTGCCAATCTGTAAACATTTGAAGAGGAAATTGTACACCACTTCATCTGTGTGACAAGTGACATTTACTGGTTGGGTGACAGACACACTGGTGCACAAATCTGGGGATTAAAATGACAGTTGATCAGTGAACCTTTTTTGTATAAACACCAAGGCGACCATTTAAAATCAGTTACTATCAACAAGTCAAATAATTTTTACTTGGATTTATTATTTACTCTATAAAGAGTTCACACTGCCTCTGGGCTATTTTCTGTTGTTTGGACGTTGTTTATGAAGGTCCTGGTTCCTTTCTGGAAGGCCTGATTGTCTCTCGTCTACATTTGCATTTGTATCTTGCAGACATGTAGATCATTCACACATTGTTCCTTTCTCTCCTTGTAGGTAGAAATAACACTTCAGGATATCAATGACAATCCACCTGTGTTTCCAACGGACATGCTGGATCTCACAGTGGAGGAGAACATCGGAGATGGCTCTAAGATTATGCAGCTCACAGCCATGGATGCTGACGAGGTACCTCGGAGCCTGTGTCTGAATTTTTGAAACCTAGTATCCCACTGATCGATCCAATTTCTGCTACATGTTAACAACTTTTATTACCTAATAACTAAGGCTAAGCAGTGTGTGTTCTTTTCCAAAGAGAACATTAATTGTTGAAATGTGTTATAAGAATGCGAATCTAGAGATTATGGAGAGGTAATTTTTCTTGGATCAGCAATTCACAACTCCATTTCTAGTTGCATTTTAGATTTCTTAGCCAAATTATTTTAATTCTTAGTAATAAAAATATCCCCATTTTATGCTTTTATTATTTTGATTTGCTATCTTATAGCAGCTAAGGATTGGTTTTTATTTGTAATACTAGAGACCCAGTGCACGAAATTTTCAGTTGCTCATCCATTTACATGTCTTGCTCTCCTGTATTTCCCACTCATTCCTTGACACAAAATAATGAGGGGGTGGGAGTCCCTCAGCCTGGCCTGTGCCTTCTCGCAGTCTGGGAGCCTCGCAATCAATTGCTCTCGCAGAGGGAGGCCCCACCCACCCACTGCAGCACCACTGGCTGGGTGGCCTGGGCCTCCCTCTGCAGGGGTGATGGTGGGGTGATGGCGGAGCCCCCCAACCAACTACATCACACCTGCCTTGGTAGGCCTGGCACCAGTGTGTGTCATAGCGTGGTCTTCTGGTTGGTCATCCGGACGGTCGTTCTGCTGTTCCGTGGTTTGGTTGATTTGCATATTATGCTTTTATTATTATAGATAAAAAAATGGCCAGGTGGTTCAGTTAGTTGGAGTGTTGTCTTATACACCAAAAGGTTGCAGATTCCATTCCTGGTCAGGGCACATACCTAAGTTTCAGATTAGATACCCAGAATCAATAAAAACATGTCCTTGGATGAGGATTTAAAACAAAGCAAATTATTTCAAATTTAAAAATGTTAAGGTTATTTTATAATTTTTATTTAATGTACATATTTGTAAAACAAAATATATAATTCAGTAATAGCCTTATATATTAAGGAATTATCTAGTCAATCTAATGACTTTTTCAATTTTGTTAATAAACAGAAACTTCTTGCCTAGTGGTGAATGTGAAATGTGGGGGCATAACTTAGATTAATATCTTCTATATTTATATTTTAAGTTTAGCTATGTAATCATCATGCTCCAAATGTCATAGAAACTTATATAATTTGTAATTTGTATTTTTCCCCATGAAGGAAGTCCATGGCCTATTTTCTCCTCCTTGCTAGGTAAAAGGGTTAATTCATGTTATGGTGTTTGAGAAAGAGGAATCACCTGTCCAGACACTAACATCCCCTTTCTCCTTAAACTAAGCCCAACACACGTCCGAGAATTTAACCTTCTTACCTTAAGCTAAACTATCGGAAGTATTGGAAAACTTGATTTTATTGACCGAAGAATTTAT